AGATGAAATTTGAAGAGGATCGGATGCGTATTTCGCATTTTTGAGAGGTATAATTGTTTAAAATTTTGACCCCTTTATGTGGGAGGTACCAGAAGGAGTGGGCCGATATATTCCATCTTCAAATCAGATATTGTGTTGATGCAAATATTGAAATTTCCCGCGTTTTAAAGAAATCTGATACTCTTTTTGACTCCTTCGTGGGGGAGGTACCAGAAAGCTTAGGTCAATATATCCCTTCTTCACACCAGAATTGTGTTAATAAAAATATTAGGACATAAGCAATTTAAAGAGAATTGAATATTTGTATTGCATTTTTTGAATTCTATCATTATTCAAAAATTTGACTCGGTGTGGGGAAGGTACCAGAAGGAGTAGTCGATATATTCCATCTTTACACCAGATCTTGCGTTGATAGAAGTATTACGATATGCCGAGTTTGAAAGGAATCGGATACTCGTTTGGTTTTTTAAGGAAAGTACCAGAAGGAGTGGTCTGATCTATCCCACCTTTATGCTAGATCTAGAGTTGTTAGAAATGTTAACATGTGCTAAATTTGAAGAACATTTGTTCCACAGTTTATGAGAGTTATAACTATCAAAATTGTGACCGTTGTGGGAAAAATATTTCATGTAGTTGGCCGATATTGTTCATTTTCACACCTCACCCCGCAGTGATAAAAATGCTAGGATTAGGATGTATGCACATAATTTTATGATCAATTCTTGTCCTATGAGGCTAATTATTTTCTGTGAAAGCGTTGACCTTCTGTTAAGGAGGTACCAGAAGGAGTGGTCCGTTTTGTCCCTTCTTCATAAAAAATCATGTGTTATCAAAAATATTGGGATATACTAAATTTGAAGACAATCGGATATTTATTTCTCATTTTCTAAAAGTTATGATTATTCCAAAAGTTGGCCCTTCGTAGGGGATGGGCCGATATTTTCCATTTTCGCTTCTAGCCAAGAACAGAAAAAAATATTAGGATTTGCAAAATTAGGACAAAATTTGATGATCCTTTCTTGTTCTATAAGGTAAGTTATTTTCTACGAAAATGTTAAATTTTTGTGGTGCACGAAGCAGAAGAAGTGAACCGATATTGCCCAACTCCAAAATCCATGTAAGTTTGATAATAATATTACGATGCACCAAATTTGGACCCATTTGGACACTCCCTTAGAGAGTTATCGATCGCACCAGCCAGATAGACGGACGAACGCCCGTCCTGGATCGGCTTCAAATGTCCTGAAACGGATTTGGTAGAGAGAGACCTAAGGTCTAAAATCGTTTTTTAGATGAGGCACGTTTTGGACGTATCTTCAGCCATATGGCTGAAGGTATAATAATTTTGAAACTTTAAATTCTCATAGGTGAGATGTCATAAACTGCTCTACAGGACAGTTGGAGTGGCCCAAGAAATGTTACTCTTGATTTAATAAAAAGATTCTATGACTCAGTTAAAAAACATAAAAAGGCTTTTTCTAGTTTAAAGCAAATAAAATTCAACAATGTTTTGTTTTCAAACCCCAACCTAACCTAACCTCCATGACATTCACGGCCCCCTTTCAGAATTAAAACATAATTTTTAGAATTAAAAATTAAGCCTTTATTAAGACGTAATAACCTATTAAAATATCCTACTCTACCCCAAGTTGGCAGAGTTAACTCCTTTGTTATGCCACAGACAATAGACTACTACAGATACCAAGAACCCCCCTTTTTACGAGAAAGCATCCACTATTTACAATATTCACCCATACCTCCAATCCTACTTCAGCCTTTAGTTTGTTTGTTTTCTTGTTAATGTCCCCAGCATTTTCTGTTTTTTTTTCTTCTCCTTTTTCCTCTCCTTTTTCCATAATATTTCTTGATAATTTTTCAACTTTCATTTGCACTTGATTTATTAAAAACAATATCACGATTGTATTTATGTTTGTTGTTCTTCTTATTATTGGTATGGTTGTTGTTGTTCCTGTTATTATAGTTACGGTCCTTGTGCCTTCAAATGTAGTGAGTGGGGTGCATTTCTTCTTCAATCAGGCCCATGGGGGTGGGGATTGGTTCCTCTCTGTATACCGGGATTCCAACAAGTCTCTTTTTTGTTGTAGTTGTTGTGGGTCCTCAACATTTATTTTATTGTTTCCCTGCAAAAGTATTTCACTCTACTTTTTACTACTTATGAGATATTATTGTTTTTAATCCGCTTTTATATTTACTTTACGCTTGTTTCATCCTCTGTTACCCCTCTCTCGCAGTTTTTTCGTTTTGTTTTCTGTAACTATCACCTCCTGTTGCTGTCGTTTTTGTTGCTGTTTTTTTTTAATACAATGCATCATTTTGTTACAATTTTATATTACTGTCGGAGATGTATCAACAGGGGGGCCTGAATAAAATAAATAAAAAAGGATACTCTATGAGGAAGTAATAAGTATTTTGAGAAAATGTAAAGAATTTCAATTTTTTTATGTATCGTATTTTTATACGCTATGTCATATGGCGATAGAGGGTATATATCATTTCATACGCCCAAAACGTGCCGTATAGAATAATGGTTTTAGAACCTGGGTCTCTTTTGACTAAATCCGTTTCAGGACATTTGGAGTCGATCTAGGGGTGTCCGTCCTCCTCTCTCTCTGGCTGGCTATTATGCACGGTAACCATCAAAGGGAGTATCCGACTTGCTCCAAACTTGATACATCGTAATATTATTATCAAATTTAGAACGATTTCGGAGATTGGTAATATCGGTCCACTCCTTCTGGTAGCTCTCCCCACTAAACATCAAACTTTCACAGAAAATAATTTAATTTATACAACAGGAAAACACCATCCTATTTTGTCCTAATTTTGCAAATCCTAATAATTTCGCCTTTTCTTGACCAGGAGCAAAATTGGACAATATCGGTCAACTCCATCAAATACCTCACCCACGAAGGGCCAACATGTTGAATAATCATAACTCTTAAAATATGTGAAATATGAGTCCGATTATCTTTAAATTTAGCTTATCCCAATATTAATGATAACACATGATTTTTTTCTGAAGAATGGATAAAACGGACCACTCCTTCCGGTACCTCTCCCACAAATGCGAAATTAGCATCTGATTCTTTTCAAACTCGGCACATCCCAATATTTCTGTCAACACATGATGTAATGCAAAGATGGGACATATCAGACCACTCTTTCCGCCACCTCCCCCATAACGGGTCAATATTTTTTAATAATTTTAGCTCTTCTATTATGTGAAATAAGCCTCCGAATCACCTCAAATTTCACACATTCTAATATTTCTACAAAAACAAGATCTGGTGTGAGGATGGAATATATCGGCCCACTCCTTCTGGCACCTCCCCACAACGGTTCAAAAATTTTTAATAATTGTAGCTCTTCTAATATGTAAAATAAGCCTCCGAGTCACTTCGAATTTCACCCATTCCAATATTTTTATTAACACACGATTTGGTGTGAATATGGAATATATCGGACCACTAATTCAGGAATTTCCCTCACAAAGGGTTTAACATTGTGAATAACCAAGACGCTCATACAATTTGAAATAAGTTTCCAATTCTCTTCAAGTTTCTCAAATTATAATATTTCTACTGATGCAAGATCTGTTTTGGAGAAGGTAGATATCGGTCCATTCCTTCTGGTACCTCCTTCACAAAGGGATACAATTTTGAATAACCGAAATGTTTATAAAATTTGAAATAAGTGACCGATCTACTCTAAACTTCACACATTGCAATATTTCTACTAACACAATATCTTGCGTGAAGATGACATGTCCATCTGGTTCCTCCCTCACAAATGTTGCCATTTTTCAATACTAAATTTCACAATTTTGACCCCATGTAGGAGAGGTACTTGGTGGAGTGGAGCGTTATCGTCCATTTTCGCTCCAGACCAAGCACTAACACAAATATAAGAATTTGAAAAATTTGTACAAAATCGGATGATGCTTTCTTGTTCTTTAAGGTAAATTATTTTCTATGAAATTGATGAAGTTTTGTGGGTCAGGTAGCAAAAGGATTGAGCCTATATTGCCGAGCCTATATTTCGAGCTAAATATAAGTTTGATAAGTTAGCGATATTTTCAAACTTCTAAGTATTTCTCTCAGCCAGATATCTTATGTGAATGTGAAATTTATCGGTTCACTCTTTCTGGTACCTCTCCTCAAAGTATTAGATGGAGTGGAATACTTCGGTCCTCTAGATTTCGTACCTCACAATAATTCAAGGTTTTCCAAATATACCTCATATAACGTAATGGAAGTAGGGTGGCACCAGAAGGAGTGGGCAAATTTGGACCATTTCGATTCTGACATAAGTCCGATATTAATATTACAATGTGCCAGATTTATAGTCCATATATCTGGCACCTTGTAATATTATTATTATTTATTTATAACGGACTTATGTCAAAATCGGAATTGTCAAAATTTGCCCACTCTTTTTGATACCTCCCCCATGGAGGGTCAACAGCCTAAATAATTATAACTCAAGTCAATATATCTTGAATAAGCAAGGGTATACATCTGTCGCCAAAGCCGATTGATCATTTTTAACTTATTGTTGTTGTTGTTTTTTGGATTTTCAATCTCGAACTTAGAAGGAATTTTTTAAGGGCTTTTAAAATAATTTTTTGAAAACTATTTATTTATATTTTGTATACAAAATAATATTTTTTTCAAAATACAAAATCTGTTTCAAAACAATATGAAAGTTCCAAATAATCTCCCATCACTTATATCAAGCCTCCACTGTAATCTATGATTATGATTTCCAACGAACTCCAGATGAATGCAACACTTTTTCTGTTTTAGTGGATGCATTAAAACATTGGCTTTATTTTAATACGGTTGCAGTTAATGTGGCATCATTTGGATATCGGATACAACACAAAAGCTCCTCGGTGGCAAAAACTCAGCTGCAGCAACAACATTTATACGATTTTCATTTGTTTTTATTTTTTGTTTCTTCCTCTCTTTCTTTGGCAGTAACTACAAAGTGCAATCAACCGGCATGAAACAATGGTATTTGTTGTCGTTGTTCATTGGCGATGCTGTGCGTGATGTGCCCCTCTGTCGTTTGTTGGCCAAGAGGATGCCATGTCCAGGCGTTGGTCCCCTGCCGCCACCACAGCCACGTTAAGGCGGGGAGTGTAGAACTTAACTGACTGAAATGCCACTGAAGTGTAGAGAAGGTAGATTGCCCAGGACTACCTCTTAGTAAAGTATTTTCTTATTTCGTCTTCTGCTGCTGTTGCTGCTGATTCTACATCCCTTTACTTACTTGCATCCTGTGTAAATATGGAAAGAAGGAGCTGGAAAAAAACTTACCCTTTTTTATTTATATTTAATGGCTATCTTACGCTTTTATTTGCTTTTTTACCATTATCCTGTTTTGTTCTCTCTCTCTGATTTCTCTTCTTGGCTGCTGAAGGACATTGGCTAAAAGGAGGCAATGGATTGGCAAATGAAAACAGAAAAAAAAAAACAATCTTACAAATATGACATGGAACTCCTGCCTCAATGAGTGGCATGAAATTTAAAGACTTTTTATCTTTTGCAGAGAAAGGAAGGATATCAAGACCCAAAGTTGGGGGAGCTGAAATGTAAGTGTGTGTGGGTGTGCGTTGGGGAAAGTGTGGAGCTGAGTATAACCGCAAGTGTTGTTACATTTTCTGGACGTTATTGGGGGGAGTGGGGGACTTGGCTACATTTGTTCATGTTATTGCGGTCTTTGATGGCCCTCGACGCGGAAGGCTGTTGCATGGCCAGTAATTTAAAGTGGAATGTAAATAATTATGTTGCATAAATTAAACAAATGTTATTGACATGTGGCCAAGAGACACCACAACTACACGTCATATTAAATTTTCAGTAAATTACTTTACTTTATTTGTTTGTCAAGAGGGAAGGCAGAGATAGGGGAGAATGAGAAATCCCTTTCTCTGCCAGAGACGATTATTTTCCAGATACTAAAACAAAACAACAAAAGTGCATTTCCTTTTTTTATTACAAGTTTAATTGTTACTATTTAAAATTTGTTAACTCCACTCCACTGAGACATCATTAAATTGTATTTTTCTTTTTTTTTTCCTTCGTTCATTCGTTTCTCCTTTCGCTTGAGTTGTTTTTTACGCCATTCAACAATGAATGACCACCAGTTTTTCATTGTTCCCTGACTATGTTTTTTTTTTATTCTGGGTTTCTTGTTTTGTTTCAGCTGCCTTAATACAGTTACAAACGATTTCATTTTGTCAGCAATCATCAGGTCCGGACAAAGAGCCATGCCAGAAAAAAAAAAAAAAAACAAAACCCAAAACGATTGGACCCAAAGGTTTTTCATTAAATTGAAAAAATCGCCAAGTGCAAATGAAAAGCTTGGCAAAAAATGCAATTGCAGCAGTCTTTGGTTGTAAATTTCAACAAATTGTTGACAATATGCAGTGTATGTTGCAAGCAACATATACAACTCACGGCAGAACTTCCGAACATCCAGAAAAAGTGATCCCTGTAAATTGTTAAAACAAAATAAGAACTTCTCACATTGGAAGTATTGGCACATTACTGTCACAACAATTCCGCAGAAGCTGCAGAACATTTTTGCTGCGTAGAACTGTCGACTCTTCATGGGTCCCGATATGTCCATTTGCCAGGGACATCATTTACAACACAACACTCACTCGCAGTGTGATATTGCAGGGAACATATCCTTGGCATCAATGGCGTAGCCTCTATCACAGTAAATTCAAGGATACACCCAAAACCTTACCTGGCCACGCCTCTGTCCCAAACACACACACAAAAAACCCTCTCCATACAACAGCAGCTTCCAACACAATTTAATTTTGCACTTTTATCAGGGGATTTAGTTGTTGCCTGTTTCCTATATTTTTTTGTTTCTTCGTCGTTTTTTTTCTTTTTGGTCTGGTGCAATTTTCACTGCAACAACACAATGGCAGGCAAGCATATACAAATTCCACCCGCACGCTCCCACACACATATATGCACACAGCTTAACTTGTTGATTTTCGGTTTAAATGCTGCTCGTTGCAAAGGATTCCGCATTTATTTACCTATTCTACACCAAAAAACCCCTATCCTGATGTTCATATAGACAGATAGATTACAGCAATTCATTGCCCTTTACCTCCATTTCCCCCTCTCTAGCAATGTTTCCCACACAGCAACCAACAAAAATATTCATCTCTTAAAATCTTTAAACTAAAAAAAACGAAACATCACAAATTTTATTTTTAGCCATATTAATGACTTTTTTTGTAACAATTATTTATTTTGTTAATATTTGTTTTTTTTTATTTAGTTTGTAAGTAAGTATGTTGTATTATTGCTTAAATGATAATGTAAAAATAAAGAATGAAAATAAAGAAAAATTCTATAAATTTCAAAAAAAAAATATCGTTTTTATAGCAAAGGTTGCTGTGGTGAGTAATACTCAGCAAATTGAAAATTAAAGCATACTTTAAGGCGAAATATGAACTAATGGATTAGCACAGTATTTTCAAATGACTTAAATATTACCATTGTGAGAATTTTGAGTAATTTAATTTTTTTTTCATGAAATCATTAAAAAAAGAATTATTCATATTCGAGGGTTTCAAAAATGGCACTATGGACTTATAGCTCTTGCGTTTGTTTGTTCTAGGTAAAGCGGTCCCTAAATGGCTTAAATCCTACAATACGAAATGTGTGGTGATTTTCAATTGCTAGAAAACGCTGGCATATGTGAAAACTAGGCTGTCGACGAAATTATATTCTGCTGGTCTAAATCTTATATATCTAGTTTATCTTAGGCCATCGAAAATGAAAGGAAGAAAGGCTGTCACTCGAATTCGAGGGTTTCTCTAAACTCAAAGCCTTCTTTCGACTGACTTTAGGTATACCATATATTATTCCACTAATATAAAGTGTATTTTAGAAGCTCAGAAAAACAAATGACAAAAAATTATAAAACAAGTTCAATGTATCAGTGGGTTTTGACGAGATATTAACTCTCAGCCAATTTCAGGCTGTAATTAAGAAATTAGAGGTCAATTATAAAATATATAGCATTTTTTGATAGGAGCACTACTTTTACGCTACCGGAAAGTACTAAATGGTACTAAATTTTGTCTTTGTTAAAGGTATAAAGATAAAATCCTGAAATTAGATATTAAAATAACTTTTGGTATTTGAAGTTGGGATTTGGAGGTGAGTTTGGAAATGTGTGCTATAGATAAAATTCTGGCTGGAGATAAAATTCTGAAATTTAATATTTAAATAACGGTCGATATCATAAGTTAAGATGTGGAGGTGTGTTTGCAAATGCGTATCATAGTTTTTCGAAACGTACTAAAGTGAAATAAATTTGGTATTGGGTGAAGGGTTGGAATCCTCAAATTTGATATTGACGTCATTGTTGGTTTCTGGAATTGAGATGTGGAGGTTTGTTTGGAAATGTGTACTGTAGTTGTACGAAAAGTACTAAATGGTGCTAATTTTGGATCACTGTTGGTGTCTAGGATGGAGAGATTTTGATTGTTTTGGATATGCGTACAAATGTTACTAAATTTGGCAGTGGGTGAAGGGATAGAGCTGAAAATTTAGTATCGAGGTCACTGGTGGTCTCTAGAATCTACATATGGAGACGTTTAAATAGTTTTGAACAGAAAAATTGGATATGGTTTCACTGTGCAACGTTTTTCCTAATTTCCTCGTCGGCACACTTCAAAACGAAAGATTTTGAAGACTTTTTGGTAAAAAGCTTAAGGTACCGGAGGAGTCTTCCAATATTTTCCATTTCGTACCTGATCTGGGTCTGACCTGTCTATATCGACTATTTCATTAATTTATATGATGATGATTTTTGAAAAATGTTGAAATGCACGTGGGGTACCGGGACCGGAGTATTTCACTAATAAAAATATTAAGATGTGAAACATTTTGAAAAATCGGACATTTATTTGGAGTATTATGAGAATAATTGTTAATCAAAATTGTAACCTTTATAGGGGGAGGACGAAGTAGTGAGCCAATAAATTCCAAACTCACAATAGATCTCTGGTTGAAAAAAAAAAATTATATATACCAAGTTTGAAAGGAATCGCTGACTTATTTCGCAAGTTGTGAGATGTAGATATTTTTGGAGACTTATAATTATTCACAACTTTGACCCTTTGTGGGGGAGGTACCAGTAGGATTGGTCCGATATATTCCACCTTCAAAACTGATCTTGCGTTGATAGAAATATTTGGATGTCTAAAATTTGAAGAGAATCTGCTGCTTATTTTGCATTTTATGATCTCTTTGACACCTTTGTGGGGGAGGTAGCAGCTGGAGTAGGCCATTATTTCCAATCTTCACACCAGATTTTGTGTTAATAAAAATATTGGGCTGTATGAAACTTGAGGAGAATCGGATGCTTATTTCACATTTTCAGAGAGTTGTAATTATTCAAAATTGTAACTCCTTGTGATGAAAATATTACGAATTGTATAGTTTGCAGAAAATTGGATGAATCTTTCTCGTTCTATGAGGCAAATTATTTTCTAGAAAATTTCGACATTTTGTTGGGGACGTAACAGAAGGAGGCGATCGGTATTGCCCACATCCGAGCTCAATCTAAGTTTTTGGCTGTGTAGGGGCATTATTTTTTTTAGTCTCAATTCTTAGTTTAGTAAAGCTTAGATATTTATAAAGTAAATGCTCTTTTTTGTTCGTGTAATACTTTTTAGTAAAAAGGCCAAGACCTCCAATGATTAAATATTTATGTTTTTTATATTTGAGAATATATTATATTATTTTAATGCTTGATTTCTACTTTTCATACTTCCCTGTAAACCGTAGTGTTTATATTGTCATCTGCCACACTGCATGCGACCATACTTTAGCTGCACCTTGGTTTGTCACACATAACTCTTAGAAATTCAAAGCATACTTTCAGGATGTCAGTTGGCCAACTGCACTCACTTAAACAATAATAACACATTTTTTAATATCGTTACAAATTTATATATAAATAATTTATTATTAAACTATATCGAATATTATTTACATAAATGCATTTAAGACTACTTTGTTTAAATAAATACACAATAAACCGCACCAATTTACATAAAATGAGGAGTTAATTAAATTTTATAAATAAACTTTACGGCCATCTGGTCGGATATAGTATTCGGTTTCACCTCTTGCATTGGTGACATAGATATTATTGTCATTCGGTCGGGGGGTGGTGGTCGTCGTTGTTGTTGTCGTACGCCTCTGGTACAAGGAGGAATGATAACGATTGTAAACATTATTGCTGTTGTTGTTGGTATTGGAAACATCGCTCTGTGGCCTGTTGTAGGCTGGCCTATATCTGTTGCTGTTGTAAGTTTGAGAATTCAAATTATTTGAATTAGTAGTGGTATAGCTTTGATATCTGTTATATTTGTGGCTACTGCTGTTGGTATATTTTTGATATTTGTTGTAATAATAATTGTTGTGGTTGCTGTCATAATTTGAGTTGTAGTCCTTTTGATTTGTTGCCAAATTATTGTCATTGTTATACAAATTATTATCATAATTATTATCCACATCGGCAGTGTCTGGAGCAGGTGTGGGCAAAAAGTAATTGGCACTGCCACCTGCATTCGATGGCGACTGGGTGGTTACAAAATAGTTGAGATTTGTGGCCGTATTGCTAACATAATTGCTGACCGAATTCAAGGAAGTCAAGTGGGTATTGTAGATGCCAACACTGCTGGGTGGAAGACCCTGATGGTAGCCATAATAGTTTTGAGGTCTCGATGGGGCCTGATATTGATTATAGTCATAGGGGTTGGAGGATTCGCCATAATCAGCTTGGTTATTATACAAATTTGCTTGTTGCTCATCCTCTAGTTCTTTGTAGTAATTGGGTTTTTGATGATCTTCAGTTTCTTCATACTCCGGGGGTGTGGGCTGCTGCTGCTGCTGATAGGAAAATGAGGCCGCATAATTAGGCCTATTTAAAATTTTTGGTTCTCGTTCTGGAAATCTTATTTTCTTACCAGTGTGATGGCTTTCAGCCACCCGTAAATCCCTCAACTCTTTGCTATGGTCGCTTATGGACATTTTCTCCTCAGGATCATCATAGAACTTAATTTTCTTTGAATCCTCATCCTTGACATAACTTTCTTGCTCATAGTTGTTATATTGATGGCCATATTTTACTTGTTGTTCTTCTTCTTGTCCCTTTGAATTATAATCCAACTGTTTGCCACCTCTCAAATACTCCGCCGCCACATCAATATATTCCCGTTCCGAAGTATCAGCCGGAAACTTTAGCTTTCGTCCCTTATTAAATTCATTAAATTTTTCAATTACTTTCCTCAGGTGTTCCTCCTCATCACCACCACTGTCGCTGTCGGGGAAAAATTTCAAGCGTTTTTCTTTTGGCAAAGTTAAACGATGTATCACTCTCGA